CGCTCGCCCCCCCCCGCCCATGCGGGGCAATCGACTGCTTTGCATGTATACACACGACCCTCCGACCACAGGCCTGCTCCGCCCTCTGCTCCGAGTCGGACTTCTACGGAACCCAGTATTCGCAAGAGGTGAGAACTCTGAAAAATGGATTTATTGCAATGGAGTTGAAGGCGCTGACCGGTTGGGTGGCAAACGAGATTTCGTCGTGGGAAAATGTACGAAGAATTACGGATCGTGCCGTTTTTTCGCTTTGAGCTTGGTGGGATCACGTGCGTAGTCTTACCTCGGCTAGAAACAATTATCGTGTCCCGTCTGTACCAGAGACCGAAGTAAACAACTTCAGCCGTCGTGCTTCTGCTCGGTCCTCCACACATAAATATGTAAGTTGCGCTATGCAAAGCGTCGTCTTTTCTGGCCTCACCATACATAGAGGAATGCAACGAAAAACGAAACACGCCTTCCCGAGATGGAACTATCGCTTAGCGGTCGGTACCGAGTCCGTCCATCGTCCACGAAAGAACAGAGATTTCTCAGTCCTTGACGTTGCCGACAATACCACTACTGCCACAATCACCTTCTTCGGCCCTTTACACCTAGTGCACAACACCGCAAGGCACTCTCGCAATCACGTGACCTCACCCTACCCGGTTCCCCCTCGAACTGATCGCCGTTAAAAAAACAGTGCTGGTGCGGCGACAACGTCGGATACGCCGAGAACGGCCCCGGCGTCTGCGACATGCCCTGCACCGGCAACACTGATGAGGTATGTGGTGGCCAGTATGCCCTGTCCATCTACTCGAACGACCCCAACTACCTTGGGTGCTGGAGCGATCCGTACACGGCGGAAACACGGCTGTTCTCCACCCGGATCGACGTATCGGACGACATGACTACTGCGGTGAGGAACCAGTGTAGTGCAGTTTGAAAATGACGTTTCCACAGCAGCCAAAGCGTTCGTATTCTGTGCGCATACACACTCCGCACTGTCCGCGGCTATGGTGACGGCGCGTATGTTGATGCTAAGCCGTCATTGGGAGGTGGATGGTAAGGTAAGTAAAGTGGACTCAGGTGGTTTCCAACTTCGCTGACACAGCCGACGGTGTGGCTGCTGTTTGACAGAAGGAGAAGCCCATAAATGTCGAGTCGCTCTATCGAACCCCGCTCAACGCATATTACACAGAAAAACAACTCACTCTTTTCCGCCTTTGTTCAATGCTAGCAGCTGCTGCCCCATATCACCCACAACTCCGTCAGGACGCAACGGAAATCGACTAACCTAGCTACAGTTAATTCAATTGGCCAGCGTGCGCCACGACTGGTTCAACCATTCAACCATTATTTCCCTCGTCTCAATGCGCCAAACTGCAGGTCTGCGACGATCTCTGCGCAATTTATCCGTTGTACGGGACGCAGTATGGAACTGAGGTGAGATGCGAGTTCTGCCAACCCGGTAATGTCCGAGTGTCCCCTTTTTTTTTTAGGTAGGTCCCCTCATTAGTTTGCAAAACCCTCTGTCCGGAAGTAGTGAGGGACACAATGGTGCGAAAAAAAGGACTGCGGATTCACGTCAATGCTCTGGTCGGGATCACTGGACGTTGAAGGATCCCAGATAGTGTTCGTGGCGAATGAGTGATTGCGTCCATTTTTGTGGGTAATTTGCCCTTGTGGCGGCCAAACCGGGTGGCTGTCCACGCCCGTGTCGACCCCCAAGTCTTTGCATCAGTGCATCCCACTTTCTCACCCAAGGTTGGGGGGACGGTGGAAAACGGGAAAAAATGCACGCGATACATACGTTAGCTGCACTTGCTATAATATGTGAAAACGCGTCTTGTTTTAGCAGATGCCAACGACACAATGACGTTTGCTTAAGCTTTCCTCTGACTCTTGACAGAAGATACCACGATTCTGCAGGTTGGTCCGCCCTGCGGTATCTGCGCTCGTCATACTTCATCGTTCGCCTGGGGTTCTCATGCGTCCACTCTAAATCGATGCCCCTTCTTACCCTACCCTTTCCGTGCGTTTGCCGCACCCATTATGTCATGAAACCAGTGCTGGTGCGATGACGGCACGTCCGATTACGACCAGAACGGTCCGGCCGTCTGCGACTATGAGTGCGCTGGATCCACCGACGGCGAGTTCTGCGGCGGGTTTGACGCTATTTCCATACGCTCACACGACGCCATTGTTATTGGCAACAACTCCTCCTACGTCGGGTGCTTCTCCGACCCCGCCGACAACCGCATTTTCGCCCTGGGGGCTTCTTCTGACGACATGACCGCGGAGGTGAATGGGCAAGCGCAGTCCGTTTTGGACACGGTGTTTTGCTTTGTGTTGGTCTCATGTTTTTCCTACCCATGTGTCGTGAAATGTGGCTTGCACTCTGTTTGTGACCCTGTTGACGTCCGGCAGCGCTGGTCGTGGTTCAACACTTGCCAAAGCCTTCCGAGCTCTTCGCGGGACCAATGAACTATCGACACAACCACACGACTCCGCCCTGTCCACGTATCTCTCACTGCCTCTTCCTCTGTTTCCCGGCTAATCCGTTTTTCTTCCTCCCGAATGTGACGGAATGACGACCACAGATTTGCCGTGATCTCTGTGCCGAGTACGAGTTCTATGGAACCCAATACTCTGAGCAGGTGCGGCGCATAGTAGAATTAGATGTCTGGAGATTGAGTCGTGTGCTGTGAAAACGAGCAACGTTGTACCAACAGGGGTGTACGAACGGTATCATTCACGTGAGAATTGAAGATCTGTGATGAAGGTGGCGACGGTCGCGCCTTAGTCTGATTATTCTGCCCTTGTTACCTGTGAGTGACAGCGGCTTTGATCGCCATGCTTCGGCTTCACCGAGGTAACCTTTCGGCGGTTCCAGTCCAGGTTATTTTGGATGTTTATTGCTCGATCCACAGGCACCAACTAGATTTCCATGCACTAAACACGGAAGTGACGGGGCGTGGTCGATACCTATCGGTGACATGATTCACAAATGTCCAGCATAGCCGTTGCACGAGTGGGGTATAAGCCTACCGACGCGAGCGTCCGTTGACCACGCTTGGCACTCCACCCGTATATATCCGTAGCTATTACGTAATTGAGCAGTCCAGTTTGACTGGCTGCGCATGAGCTCGGGCTTGTACGCTTCGTTTGGTAGAGAACCCTCGCCCAAAGCGGAATCGTTTGAATTTTCCGTTGAAGCCCGAGATGAATGCTCGACCATATCGGGGTGGACCACAAGCGCCTTGCCGACCGCACCCTCTCACCCGGTCGAACGCTGCGGCATATTGAAACAGTGCTGGTGCGGCAACAACGCCGAGTACGATGTCAACGGCGTCGGTGTCTGCGACATGGCCTGCTCTGGCGACTCTAGGGAGGTGTGCGGAGGTTCCTACGCCATGAGTGTCTACGAGAACGACAACGTCGAGGTGGACCCCTCCTACCGTGGGTGCTTCGCCGACACGGCGGACAACCGCGTTTTCCACCAGACGACGTCTGATTTCGACTTGACCACAGAGGTGCGATTGGTTGGTCCTGTTTATAGACGTGTGCTCTCGTGCGTCCAAGGCATTCGCTCGACGTGGTGATACCGAATCCATTCCTGCTTCTTGGCGTTGCAGATGTCGATATCAGGTGATGAACGCTTGTGACCCCATTCATCACCGCCATGCTCGACCCCCCCCCCCCGTGCCCGGATGATCGACCGTTGCGTGCACACGCATGGATCGCAGCACTGCGGACTGCTTTGCAGCATCGAAGGCTTCTCTTTCTACGGCCTGCAATATTCGATTCAGGTGAGACCGCAGAAAACAGTTTTCGTACCCTGAGTGTGCGTGGCGAGGTTTTAAATTGGTTTTGAACCAACACACTCAGATGGGAATATCTCTTGGGGTAAGCGTTCAGTCCAAAGTCGTAGTCTCGTGATGGTTTAAGCGATCATTGAACGCCGTCTTCCGTGTGGTTGATTTCGCCACTTCTTCCTTACGACGACCCTTCCGTCCGCGACACCTCGTGGTACAATCTCGTCGAAAAAAGTGCTGGTGCGGTGACCACAACACCGAGTACTCCGCCAACGGCGACGGCGTGTGCGACATGCCCTGCGGGGGCGACGCCTACGACATGTGCGGAGGGTTCTACAGCATGGACATCTACTCGATCGACCCGTCGTACCTCGGGTGCTTCTCGGACCTCGCCGACAGCCGCATTTTCGTGTGGGAGGCTTCCTCCAACGACATGACTGCAGAGGCGAGTGATTTGCCGACCAACAGCGTTGGGGTTGGGGGCTGTTTTACACCAGTTGGCTGCCCACCAACCCATGCGCAATTTCGGATGCAATAGCAATACCTTGCCGCGGTGTTGCCAGTAAGGGGCGTGCATGATTGCTGCTTGCCAGAAAGTCGCGTGGTCATAACACAGGCATCACTAGAGCACTGCTAACCCGTCGTGGAACCGCCTCGCCACCACAACGCCCTTAACTTTCATTTAACTCCGTTTCGACTAGCTCCTTTTCCCTCTTCCTTGAATGATCGACTTTTGTCACCGAACGACCAGACCTGCGCAACGCTCTGCGCCGACTCGGCCTTCTATGGGACGCAGTACTCTCAAGAGGTACGACCTTGTGCATTGGTGTCCCAACTGTTGTGATTTCGCGGATATTGATCGATCGGATAGTACCGTGCGCTGTATGTGAGCTTCCAAAGACCACGGCCTCAGCTTTGCTTTGGGTCGAATCGTCTTGCGACGGTTCACGATGTCTTACCATGTCGCTCCGTGATAGATCTCGACCAGCTACTTCATATGATAGAGTTAGCCACACGTATCCTAGTTTGGCTTCCCCAACTGCGAGTGACATACCTGAGACGTTCGTGTCCGTCGCCGTTTGCTCTTTTAGACACCGGTGATATACGTACAACAATGGTGAGAGGTGGATGTGATTTGGTGAGACAAACACCATGATATTACGCGGGTTCGTCTGGTCTTCAAAGTATCGGAATCTTCCTTTGCGTGTTGTCTTCGAACGTTCGAACAGCACACACGATGAGTGGTGCGCACGTTCCCACTCTGCGCTTTTGTCCCTTCGTTAGCCGTTACTTTTGCATGTACACCCCCAAAATACCACAGCGCAATTCACGCACGCTATGTGTACCATGTCACACGCCCCTGCCCTCCTCCTGCTGACACCACCACACCCTGACGCTGCCACCTAAAACAGTGCTGGTGCAGTGACAACGCCGACTACGATGCCAATGGTTTCGGCGTCTGCGACATGCCCTGCTTGGGCAACCCCGCCGAGATTTGCGGTGGCTCGTACGCCATGTCAGTTCATCAAACTCTCTGACTGGTCTTCCGCATGGTTGCTTCATCAAGGCAACGCCTTCTCCTGGTCAAGGGCACACGACGAACGAAAGCTTTAGAAGAGGACGCACTCTCTTGATGTGCTCTCGCGTGCCTTCTTTCAGGTACTGCTGACACATCGGTCGACACCTCACCGGGAAGCGATCAGGCTAAGCATTATATCAATCGGAAACGCAAGCAGAATGACAGTAGAATACTTTCGGAAATACTCAACCCCGCATTGTTACGTGGAGCTTAGCGGACACGCTTGCTTGGCGCCTGCCATCCCTAGGGTGACATTGATGAGGTGCTCAACGTCCAGCATGGTATCCTAAGGGGGATGTGTTTCCGTTTCACGTCCACAACGCGTGGTTTAGTAAACACTCCTTGATGTAGCATCACGGAGGTAAGCGCGATGAGTAGGCGGACAACTGGTTGAGGTACATGGTTTGATACTGGATATGCATACGTGCACGCATTATGTTGGTATGATCTAGTCTATATACATAATTCTGGGCAAGGGGTGTAGACGGCCTAGGGTACTAGATAGACAACAGGCAAAGAGGCTAAGAAGACCACCCGGCAAAAGGGTGCAAGCAGAAGTACACTACCGTACGCTTTTCAATAGCACTGGACGGCGCCCATGTCACGGATACACTGACTGAAAGTGTGCACGGGGGAAGGAGAGGGTGAAGAAGCCCAGAGAAATCGGTTACACGAACCTCAGTCGTCGAGGGTCTGGATCAAGAGCTTGGTTTCCTGATAGGACTCGACTTGGGCGTGGGGCAGGTTTGTTTAGGGTGTTGACAAAACAAAAAGGCCTTTTTGTGGTTGGCGGGCCTCGGGACCTGAGAAAAGGTCCACAAGTTTTTTTCGGAAGTGGTGGGAAGGAGAGGACTGACTTCAGTAACCGGGTCCACGCAACATTATAGAGACTTGCCATCTGAGACTGCTGCGTGCAGTACCAGAGGAAATAGAACCCTCGGCTGCTGTTTGGAGGGAAGTGAGACACAGAAGTGACGGGGAACGAGACAGAGGGTCGATAGAACAGGGGGGGGGAGTTGTCTGCGGCAAGCGTGCCCTGCCTGATCGGTATCTCTCCCCTCGGGGTTTTGAAAAGCATGTCTAGCGTGCAGACACGGAACCATTAGCTGCCTGTTGATGAGTCTGTGTGGGACAGATCTTTCGTTGGAATTGTTAATTCGGTAGATTAGACGTCACGGGGAGATCTAACCGCAAGTGATCTACGGGGTCATGGCATTCAACCTGCTGCTGCCGCTACTGCGGCTAGAAGTTGTTCCCTGGTGTTGTGCGTGCACTGGAGTTGTCCATGTTTGTCCATGTTTGGGGAAACTCTGTACATGGGATATCGCCTTGGCTTCCAAGCAAACAAGGACTCGATTACACGGCGGGTCTTCAACACCGTGGGGACTACGTGGGTCACCACACATATCTCCACAAACCCCACACCAAATGAATAGCTGTGAAGGTCTCTGTCTCAGAAGCAATCAGAAATGGACTCTATCCTTCTGCCAAGGGTTTCCATGGTTCCAGTAACCTATGGATGAAAGCTGCGCTTGCTTGTTGTGCTACTCCCTGTAGAGCGGCCGTAGACTGCGCGATTGTTGGAAACTCACCTATTCATTGAAGAGGTGTCCTGGTCACGGGTACGTGCGCACCCATCCGAGCACGGGAGGAGGATTGCTACGAGAAGGGAAATATCTGTCGATTCTGCTGTATCTACGACACGCCTGAGTATACAAGGCAACATCAANACGGCGGGTCTTCAACACCGTGGGGACTACGTGGGTCACCACACATATCTCCACAAACCCCACACCAAATGAATAGCTGTGAAGGTCTCTGTCTCAGAAGCAATCAGAAATGGACTCTGTCCTTCTGCCAAGGGTTTCCACGGTTCCAGTAACCTATGGATGAAAGCTGCGCTTCCTTCTTGTGCTACTCCCTGTAGAGCAGCCGTAGACTGCGCGATTGTTGGAAACTCCACCTATTTATTTAAAAGGTGTCCTGGTCACGGGTACGTACGCACCCATCCGAGCACGGGAGGAGGATTGCTACGAGGAGGGAAATATCTGTCGATTCTGCTGTATCTACGACACGCCTGAGAATACAAGGCAATATCATNAGCACGGGAGGAGGATTGCTACGAGAAGGGAAATATCTGTCGATTCTGCTGTATCTACGACACGCCTGAGTATACAAGGCAACATCAAAGTTTGGCGGCACCCAGCCCGCACCCCAACGTGGACGTGTGACAGCAGGGCGGGCGTTCGAGGTTGAATAGCTTTGGGCGTTCGATACCAACGGTCACCGCGGATGTGTATGTGTCCCGTTTGGTCCGTTCCGTACCAAATTTCCCTCCGCCGGTGTTTTTTGTTGTATATGTCCTGGATGTACATGGTCGTCGACAGGAGCGTCCTTCCAAGCCGTTTCCACCACGTCCATCGGAGGAAGACAAGGGTCCTTCTGGCTGAGAGCCTGGGCCTTCTGTGTTGATGGCGGGCGCCTCCGACGCATTCCCAACAGGATGCATTGGGAGAAATATCAGTCGTCGTGCCTCTAGGAATCTACAGTATCTCAGGACTCAATGTATTAGGCGCGAAAATATATCCTCGAGATGTCATGTGAATCTTGCGGTTGGCGAAACGGTCGTCGCCTACGACACCCACGTAGGCGTGACCTACGAAAAATAACGATTGCATGCCCATCAGGTAAACATTATTTTGCGATGTGTGGCTAGGTTTTCATGAGGCCAACCATTGCCAGCCTACGTTGCCTGTCTAGAACATGTTTTCACTGCGGTACCTGAGGTAGTCAACCCCACGCACCTCTTGTCAGAGAGCCACGTGTGATGTTCTAACAGTACGCTACCGTTCACGTGGGAGCACTGTTCTACACGTTAAGAACCCAGGATTTTACACCTCCACAGTTGAAAAACTGCCACGTAAACTATGTCTGCTTAGTTCGAGCGCGGCCACTATGCGTTCGTGTTGATTCGGAAGGAAGGTGGCCAGAAACAATCAGCTCGGAGGGAAGGGGGATGAATTCGCTTTGGTCCACGCTGCTTGTGATGGCCAACGATTAATTCCATACGGAAGTCACAGGATACATCACTCACAGGAGAACAGGATGCAAGCGGACGGGGCAATGGCGAGCCACAGGGCAGTACCAACTGTTCAGTGACCGACGCTATCTATCGGAATTTTCCGTTGTTGGACGTCTAAGGACGTCCCATGGCACGCACTGGGCGCCAACTAAACATGCTGGACGTCCCATGGGACACCATTGGAAGTCCAGAACGTGCCACGGGACACATGGGACGTCCAACTTGGACGTGGGACGTCCAACTTGGACTATGACGTCCAATCGGAGGTCACGTGGGACGTCCAACGTGTACCACCGATGAGATGCCTTGGACGTCACAGCTGGGCGTCTTATTTGACGTCCTCACATGGGCAAAACACACATATATATAGGCAAAGTAGTACGCAACAAGATCGGATGTGGCTATTGGTTGTGCAAGTTGTGTTTCCTGCTAGGTCAATGGAGTGGGCACGTGGTGAGGGTTCCATCCGTCGGCCCGGGAGTCCAATGGAACGGCCCACATGTCCCATCAGACTTCTTCGTGCGCCATGGGACGTTTTGGACGTCCAATGGGACCGTCGTGGTATGTCCTACGGCGTGTCCCATGGCGTCCCATGCTGATGGAAGTCCAACGTGTCGCACGCTATTGGGAGTCCAACGAGTCCCATTGGACGTCCAACGTGTCCGATGGGACGTTCCGCGTCCAACTTGGACTTCCAGGCGTCCCATGTGGGACGCCTGGAGCGTCCAATGTTGCCCCTTGAGACGTACGATGTCTCATGGGACGTCTGACGTCCGATGGTGTCCCATGGGACGTCCAACGTGATGGGACACGTTGGACATCTAATAATGTGGACGTGAGACGTCCACTTTGGACATCCAATGTGAATATCCAACGATGTAAGCACCCCCAACTATCGCCAAGTGAAACCTAGTCAATGACACGACAAAGTTTTTCCTTTGGAATGGGTATCGTATATTTACTTCACACTTCGTGCGTTATTTTGTTTTGCTTCTTTCCGGTACGTTAGGATTGCTCGTGTGTCAAAAAATGAATATCACGTCATTGCATGACGTTACATTTAAAACGCGATATTTGAAGAGCACAAAATAGACGTCGAGAGAACGTTGTAACGTAGTGGTCTACGGGCGGAACCATAGGCGAACGGAACAGCTTTACGTGCGAAAACTCCAACATGACACACGTACCGCGGTTTCCGTCGGGCTTTGTAGGGTTCCTTTCGTGCACGCGCGTAGAGGCGCGCGTGATGCTATACTCCGCGCTTTGAGAGTCACTGAAAATTGTTTCGACGATCGATGTCCTGTGCATGATGTGGTTTGTGGCCTCTCGAACAACAACACGCATAAAAGGCGCACGTGAGTGTCACACTGCTGTGTTTCATATGTCTGTGTTCAACAGGTTTGAAATATGTAACACCATGAACAAAACCTTACAAATAGTACGCGCGGACGGGGGGAGGGTGTGTACATGTGGATGTGCGGGATACGTCTTTCTTTACTGCGTACTTGTTTCCGCAGGTCAAAATTTCTGTTGTTATCTTGTCCGTTACCCAGATCATTAAATGCAAGTATTGGATGCGGTTGGGTGTGATGCCTCATGTCGGCCACGAGGAAAAACTCTTCGGGCTGGGCGTATCGCTATTATTTGCCCAGCCCGAAGCGTCAAATAGATTATCTGTAAGTTCATGAATCCCATTTTTATACTGTAGGGTGGGTGAGATGGTCTCAAAAAAATGTTGTCTCCTCCAAACTTGTCTCCTCTGCTCCCGCGTGTTTCTGGAGAGGGAAAGGGGACCGGTCATTCCAACATGCTTCATGTGGTCTTCCCGATTTCGTTCCGAAAACTGGATTCGTTTCGTATCCGAGATTTCTACGGATATCCCACCATGTTGAACCAGCCAAACAGCCATGTGTTCAGCCGGCCGTAGAGACCTTTTGAGGCGGCTAGCAGTCAATGGTAGTGGCAGAGTTACCTTTAGGCGGGAGGCGCGGCAACAGACTCGCTAGTTGTTGAAGAGGTATCAAACACGCACTCAATAGTGTAGCTTCGTTTGTCCTGTCCAAACAAACATTCTCCTCTCGGCGCAGGCCGAATGGTTGAGTTTTGGTTTCTTCCCCGCCGATGCCCTTCCCATCACAAGTGTTTGTAAAAATGTAAATAAATGTAGACTAGACTTTGCATATGCACACATATCAACTTTCTCTTTTGCTGCTCTCAGCACATCACATGTCACATCGCCAATAAATTGATGAGGAGTCTCACTTGGGTCTTCTGGTCTACCAGACAGCAGTAGTACAATTACTTGCTCGGAAATACAGATGGCGCCCGCAGTTGAGAACCTCCACTTTCGGCCGAGGCTGGGGTTCTCATACTGCCGATCATCCTCTTGTGGGCTACAAATCGCCACTATGTAGGTTTTAGTGTAGGGGCTCATAACTGGGCTCACAAATGGTGCTCAAGTTCTCAGCTTCTGAGTCTTTTCGAGTCTCAATTTCTTAACTGCCAAGTTCTGAAGTGCGGGCGCTATCTGTACATGAAATCTTGCGAACGGTGCGCGTTAGTATGAGATGCGGTAGACTATACACACTTGTGTATGAAGGCGGAGAGATGCAAGTGATACATAAGGTGTACCGTCTCCTCCGTATAGCTCGGGGCGCCTGCCGAATGCCTCCCGCAACGCACCGAGCGTGCCCGGGTCACTATTTCACTGCTCCTGGGGGCGGATCCTAGAAAGGCATTCGCGGTCCGACCCTACATGTTCCCATTTTCTCGGGACTGTCAACAGTCCTGTCAAGAGTTTGTCCTGATTGAACTTGAACAAACAAGTTGCAGTAGAAGCAGGACGAGAGTTTCCACAACTTTTTTTGCACAATGCGGTTGTGTGAATCAATACTGTTACGGTAAGCACATACAGAGTACACCTTGGAGTCTTATTGTTGAATGTTATCCCGTTGACACACCTCGAAATTGGAATAACTCGCACATCGAAGTCAGAGCTCGGGCAGAGGCCCGAAAGGACTGCACTCAGAAACACGGACGTGGTATCGCCAATGGGTTGTGTGTGGCACTCAATATAGCCATTCACCACCAAGAACCGCGAATCGCGTTTTCTATCGTTCGTCGGCTAACTCTTTGGCGCTCTTCAACAAATTGATACTCGACGACGACGGACCACACATCAGTCGTCCGCTAGGGGATAATATTCAGGCTACGTACATAATTCTGAGCGAGGTCGAATCACATCGCATGAAGAACCAGAATCTTGAGGCTTTTCGGAAGCTACGTCCGCCAGCTGCTGAGGTTCCTACCCCACCCACACTCCTCGCCCAACCGGCCCCGCTCCTCATACCTCATCTCGAGCTGAGCTCTCTTCATCAGCCCGCAGGATCCCTGCGCCAGCTGCTACAGGGCCAGTCGGATTGTAGGCCAGGCAGGTACACTGTCCCTTCTACAGCAGTAGTCGTGTGTGTAGTCTAGTGTGCTCTACAACAGTTTTGTGGAACTCTGGTGCGGAAAGTAGCAAGTTGCCCGGTGTCCCATGTCCTACCCCCAAGGTACATAGCTCCAGGCGAAGCATGTGGCATACATATTGTAAGATGGTCGTGCAGGCGACAGATTAAAAGGTACAACGCCCCAGTACGCACGGATTCGCTGTATGCATATGTAGCTTCGATGATGTGCCTCCATCGTCGTGTCGAGTGTTGGACGATAAATCTTGTTCAGATTTTCCGACATCGGTGTGATGGAGGCCGGCACGGATATGGAATACATCAGATCACAATAATGGTATATTTAAACTATGTGTTTTTGCTGGGCCTTGTGTTGTCGTGCAGGACGGACACACAAATGTGCTCTGTGTTGGCCTGTAGAATAATTCTCGGCCCCTCAGCTTGCGGCGTGTAGCGGTCGGCGTACGTAAATAAATATATTCCTCTCCCACCTCCCACAACTACGAGTGCTCCGTTCGATACGTCAACCGCAACCACAAAGCCATATTTCCAGACGGCGTGTCTAACCCCGCTGTTTTGCCATGTTTCCTTCATAACTCTTGCCAAATTCCCCCAGACACGGCGGGCCATCGAACGCGCAATCAATGATGGTGATGAGAGACACAGACAAAACGCCCACCGAATTCTCATCATATTCTGTAATGTTGAGAAAATCTTCATTAGACTCTAGTCTAGACCTACATCAACCCCTTCCTTGCTCCAGGTACAAAGGGGGGAAATTATGCAGTAGTATGCGGCTGACATGGACACATACAAAAGGTACGGATGGTTGTTGCCGTATTTCAATTTCACTGCTGTCATGCTTGGCGGACTTTGTCTCTGTTTCCTGCTGTCTTTTGTCGGCAGACAGAGGGCGGTGCCCGGTCATCGGCATGGTGAATTCTCTTTTTTTTGCGGGAAGACTTGTCGGGTTGTGCGCCCTACTCAGACGAAGCAAGGGAGTCGTTGCTGGAAGCCATGCACCTCACCGCGGCCACCGTACCCTTCAATCCAGCTCAAACATTGAGTTTATCGAAGCCGTCGTAGGCACGGCCTTCACTACTGAAGAGCAGAGCGGACTACAGCTCCAGGTATGCGGATTGCCGCAGTCAATAATACTTGCAAAATTTTCCGTGTTGGCGGGTTGTTTGCGGTGACTGTGTGGTGTTTGGGTTATTGGTAGGTTGTTGGCGTGACTGCGTATTTTGGTGCGGCGCACAGCAACCTGGTACAAACAAGTAGAAAGAGACAAGTCAGATGTTGTCGTTACTTCCCCGCCCCATCATACGTTGCTGCTCCACACGCATACGACCCGAGGATCTGCCGAGTGTGCAGAATGTCGCCTGTGCCCGGAAAAACACTTCCTTCTTGGTACCCGTTGTTCGTTGTGTTTTCGCTTCGCTGATGTGACCATAGAACGCTGAGCGCGGCGTGCCTGGAGCTGCGACGACGACCATCACCACATCAACCACAGCCCAGGTAGACCTACCTGACATGAGGTTTGGGCAAGAGACTATATTGTTCACTCGTGTCTGGCAGATAACATGTAGTCCACTCGGTATATTTTCCCGCCATATTTACAGCGAAGAGGGGCAGGTTTGCTAGGTGCCGCCGCAACAAAGGCGTTCCGGTTCAAAAAAGCAATAGCGCCTCCGAAAATATCCATGTCCACGAAAGATAGGCCGCTCTGTCGGTCATATTAACGAATAGCTCTCTGTCCTCTATTGGACACACTACTCCTGCTTTTGTCTTGGACTGCTGTGAATCCGCTACCTAAATACCTGCGACACCTCTCCTCGCTGCTTTCCGCCCTTTGCGATCGCTGCTTGCCCACAGTACGAATTATACTTCGCACCACCAAGCATCGTGGGGGCTACGGTGAGAACTTCGCGTGCGTTGATCGGCATTCTGCCACATCACACATGCGTGCGTATGGACACCTACAACGGGTCCGATTACTATTGCAATACATAGAGAAAGTACCCTGTGCACCACGACACTATTTGGCGAAGGAGTGGCGCACATACTAGCAGGAAAAACTCATCTGGCACTGGTGTAGTTTCCCTGGCCTTCGCACTTTGCACGCGATGGAACATTTGGGCGATTATTGCCGGTGAGTCATGGCGGCGGCAGCGCCTGCAGGAGGGCGTCGAATCAGCAGTCCGACGCCCGTTGAAAACTGTCCGAACTTTCGCAAGCATCGCAGTGCTTTCTTCTTTCGGAAGTGCTCCCCCCACTGACATGAAATCCTCGAGCGAACAGCAGGGTCGTAAGAGCAGTGGTAGTAGCTGCAAAAAGTAGTTGCAAATATGGTCCTTTCCTTCCCACGGTGGTGGAAACGCAAACGAGCGAACGACCCTGCTGTCCGAGACGGCACTTGAGTTCAGGCTGTGCATCAACGCGTGGCCGAGGGCAAGTGAGAAGTGGTTGGATGCAGGGAGGAGGGCAATACACGGTGTTAATGCCCTGCGGTTCACAAACGTTGGAGTACGTACTTTTGTTGTTTCCCCCACCTCCTCTGATGCGTTTTTTCTCACCATGTGTAGCAGTCGTTGCAATCCTCACACTTTCGATTTGTCGACGAGGTGTTTTGTGTGTCGATGCGCCACGCTCAACCCGAAGCGCTCTTCGCATGGGTGACCCGTTCATTCGTTCGCCGTTCTTGTTCTGACAGGGCTTCACCCTGAGCTTCGTTGGGCAACTGGATGGTGCGGCGTGGACCGTGGATATCTTCGACTTCAGCACCGACGTCACCACCTGGGTCAACGCGGGCACCCTCACCGGGAGTAAGTTCTGCTCGGTGACGTGTACATAACCAGTATGGCCGGTGTTCTCTTCAGATTGTAAAGCTGCACTGAAATGGTCACGACGGTGTGAGAATGCCCAAGAATGTCCCCCACGCCTTCCAACAATGGCTTGTGAAGCCCAGCTTTTGTCGGGGGAGCATTTGGCACCAACATCTCCTTACGCCACACATGAATGCCACGCTTGCTTGCTCGCTACTCCGTCCTCTCGACGTGACAGTGACTACTGCTGGGTGGGGGGACGTCGACGTCGACTTCCCCACAACGACACCTGCCGACTTCATCGCTGATGAATCGGTAGTTTTGGTATGTACGCAACTCGCCATGAAAGTGGGGGAAACTCTAGATAGGTCATTGTATCACAGGGAAACGAACGCCCTGCAGCTATTCGTTCCCGGCGTAGATCGCGTCGGAATAGGTAGCGCTGCCGTACAAAGTCGGTTGCTTATCCCTTGCGCCCAATCACCTCGGCGGTTGTTCAATGCCAACCTACCATTCGCATCATGGACCACTGCTCCCTCACCGCCATGCCCTTTGGCCGTCGTCACGGCGCCGGTCGTCTTTTCTTGCACCTTATTATGTCTACTACGTATGCTACCTGGCGCCCGAACCATCGGCCACGTTGACCTTGCCGTGGGTCCCGCCGCCTTGACTTCAGCTCCAACTAAGCGCCGCTAACACTGAGGTAATCAACATTAATGGAGTGTCGCCCTACAATATGTATGTTGTTCGTTAGTGTTATAACCTGGAAGCGGGCTGCGGGGATCAAACACACATAGGAAGCTTCAGACTTGGATCTCATTGTGAATTGTGTTGGATTCGTGCCCGTATCACAGAGAAGCAGTGCTACGAAAATGTCGTCGCAACAGGGAAAGGACCACTCAGCAGTGTACCAGCAAGAGCGCGCCAGGTGGTCTGGTAGGCAGACTCGAATGTCGTTGTCATAGAGAAGTTGCTCGATATATCTAAATGCCGGCGAATCGATTCGCCAAAACTCTACTAGATATGTATCGCTGTTGCCAATTGTCTACTGATTGATCCCTTGCTCTCAGGTCGGGTACCTCGACTACGCTGCGGTGAACGCCGTCGGAAGCTCGCCAACGCCGACGCCTGCAGCCGCGCCGGTACCTGCCCCCGTCGCCGCTCCTGTCGCCGCACCTGTAGCTGCCCCTGTAGCTGCCCCCGTAGCTGGACCCGTAGCCGCGCCCGTCAGCCCCGCCGAGGGCTCCACCGCCGCATTCGTGGCGACAGTTTCTGGTGCCGACATCCTGGACGTTCAGGTCTCGGGCGAACCACTCGGGGTGAGAGCATCATCGACCCATGATGACGGTGACTCCGAAATACTTACCATCCATGGACCACCTTACCTCTTGGTGAGATGTGTGGCCTACAAGATGAAGGTCCTGCAGAGCCTCCGTAGCCACGACTTGCGCCGAAAAACGTTTCCAAACCTCGTCTATGCGTTCATCGCTCGTGCAGGTTGCCGACCTGGCCGCCACTACGGACACGGACGCTTCTATCCAATTCGCGGCTACGTCCGGCGAGGCTGCGGCGGTAAGACGCTTGTCGACGCTATTTAATCATCTTACGGATATCACGGGGGCTTGAAAGTACACCTTCTCGTCCCGGTTTCGCTGATCTACTGCAGGTTGTTTGAGCAGAGTGGCATTCTAGATGCGGACATATTTCTCACCCAACAAGCATGGGGACAACTGTTAAGTTGCAATCCAGAGGGGATATGAGCCACGCGTATCCTCTTTGTCCATCGCAGACGGACCCAGGCGCTTGTTCTTCTCGACGACTCCGGCCGAACAACTTGTAGTTTGCTCGTCTTGCCGATTCTTGTGGCCCTACGGGTTTGCCGATGTCGGGCATGCATGCATCCCAATCATAATCTCGCCCTGTGCTTGTCCTGACTGGTGCCGCTCGGCTGGTATATTCCGATTCCCTCTGAATGCGATCAGTACGAGGTGTACTTCGTCGCGCCTGCGGCCGTCGCGGGTCCATTTACAATCACCATCACGGCCCAGCTTGGAGCCGGCGCCGTCGCCAGCGACTGGAAGGTCGACATGTACTCGTTCTTGCCTGACGGCAGCGACGACTATGAGCTCGTCGGCGATCTTACCGGTGGTACGCCAATCCTCGCACTTCCCATGATGTCGTCGACCGTCGTGTAGCAGCACGCAGTGTATGTATTCCCCAAGTGCCGGATGTGTTATCTGGTAAGCTTGGCGATTCCATGGGATTATAGTTTGTTTCCGACCCGTGTACCTTGTACGAATGAATCAGTTGTGCCAAACGGACGCGAGCGGCAGACGACGCGAGATTCTTCAAAGTCTGACAGGATATACGTGCCCCATCCGCACGCTGTTGTCTTCCTTCGCCGGCGGCCTTCTTGCTTTGTGTGGCAGTGACATCTGGATCTTGGTCAACCATCACACTGACCCTCGATCCCGACACCCCTGCGAACTTTGTGGATCCGACCGCCATCGAGTACCTGGTGAGCCAACGGTATCGAGTGCCTAGGAATCACGACAGCGAGAAATGTTGCAAAGTTGAAAGATTCCGATAAAGGTCACGCGCACCCGCACCCGCACCCAAAGGTACGGACACGTGTGAGGTAAATTGTGGGGCATTGTCGTGCCCTGAACCTGCGACAACACGTGTCTCATGGGAAACGCAAACGCTCGCGATACAGGAAGCCCTTTAATCCCTCTCCCCCTGATGTCTGCGGCGCGATACTTGTGCATTGCAGGTCCAGCTGAGGACCGAGAATGCTGGTGCCCAGGTACGTCTAGTCTGTTGTCCCCACTACTGTAGTAGAGACCACCTCCATTGTTTTCAACCTCGTCTTGGTAAAAAGAGAGACGCTTGAAAATACGCTTTGGGGGACCATGTCTTGACCTTTGCATTCCTGTCTCGTGCACGTTGGCGTCGGGCGTTGCTTGTGCTCCCTCTGCACCACTGCCAGGCCATCTACGTTGACCAGATCGTCGTCTCGGACGGAGTGCAGGGGCCGTCTCCTACCCCGGTGACACCTCAACCGGTAGCTGGGCCGACTGCTCCGCCTGTGACGGCTCCGACCGTGACTGGACCGACCGCACCTCCTACAGTGGCTCCTTCCGTTGCTCCTACCGTCGCTCCCACGGCGGCGGCGACCCCTGGTCCCGTCCAAGTGGACATGGTGCCCTGCATCTTAGCCTCCGAGGCCGTGGTGAGCGGACGGGACACATTGGTTGGCGTGTGCCGGTCCTTGTCCTCAGAGAAGCGGGGGTTAGGGTATCCGTTGGCCGACCGGGATGTGTCGCACTTGTTCTCTATCGCTGTCTCACGAAGGTCTCGTTACATGTAGGGCAAATGCTCCTGGTCGCAGACGAAAGGTTGATCCCGTTGACTCTTGGGACGTCAGAGAAACAACTACCGGTTCTCGCTCTCTTCCCTGTGTGTCCGCAGGAAAAAGACGCGGGTCCCGTGGCTTCGGCGTACCTAATCAACGAGTTCTTCAAGGGCTTTTGGACAGCCACTCAGGTAAGTAAGGCGTTCGTTAACCAAGTATGTTATTCGGGGTGGAAGCAGGCAAAGCGTAGATCTTAATAGTTTAAGCGCAACTATTTATTGCTCGGCGAAACGTGCAGATAGTTAGTCGTCCCAAGTTGGAGCACGTCAATTCCACTGATTAGACGATAACCGCGCCCGGGGAGTAGTAAGTCCTCCCCGTCTTCTTATTGTTGTTTGTTCGCTTGGGAACGACATTACTGCAACATGCATATACCGGAATCTCGTTCGGGGAGAGGGGGGTACAACATTCTGACCAATCATTTAGCATTGTCTCCCTGGGGGGTTCTCCCTCGCCTTACATCTGGCGCTGTCGAAAGCCCATGTTCCCTTCCGCGTGCCCGGCAACCGACGTCGTCCCCTGTCGATAAGCATTTTCTCTTCCCAATGGATTCCACCGGCGCAAGAACGTCCAAGCGCCCCCTGCTGCCGTGCTGGACCTTGTCGAAGCTTTGGATGCGGACCACGGCAAGTGCAGCGTCGTCTACGTCGGCATCGTTCCCTCCGCCGCCCAGAAGCTGCAGCTCCAAGACTACTCTCGCAAGTTCAACGTAAGCTGACGACGGTGTCGGGGCGTGGTGACAATCATCCGCGAAGCGGAACAAAGGAGCACACGTACAGCGTACGGTGTTCGTACCGTCTTGTTGGGTGTTGTAGTGAACATTGGCCGCGGTATACGTGTGAAGCTTTTCGATCGTGGCGTACTGTAGACAAAAATTCCCGCTCTCCTTGAGTGATTGTTTGGGTCGGCTCCGTGTGTTGGCCCGGTGGCTCCAGGTAACCCCTACAGTCTTCGCACCTGTCTCTGTCCGTTAGGCATCCCTTGCGTCTCAACTGTTTTTCTTGCTCGTCCCGTGACTCCTTCCCGTCAGGTCCGGATCGTATACTTCGACATCGCCGACACCATTCTCGACACGGAAGTCCAAGTCAGGCTGGGCATGCAGTCTAACTTCGACCAGCCTTTCGTGGGGGCGCCGAGGGTTAAGCGGACAGGTATGCACGAGGGTCTAGGGCCTGGCGACCTGTTCACATGCTTGAGGAAAAGGACCTTCACCTAGAGCTGACGGATCCTTCACAATGCATACTCGCGGGGCGCCCACCGAAGGCACATCTCCACATATGTTTTCCCTCCATCTTACCTAACCCCAACGGCTTCTTCCTGCCTTCACGATAAGCAGGCGGGTCGACGGACAGCATCGCCCCCGCGGACATGCTGACGGATCCCACTCAAAACAGCCTGTTCAACAGACCGGTCGTTACGACGGTAGATACTCTCCCGGCCGGCGTCAGCATCTTGGCACAGTGAGTGATCATACATGTTACTGCGTTGAAGCCCCGTGTTGTTCCCTGACTCGTGGGACTGGGTTACGTAGGCCAGCGGCGACACCACTGTTCGTGGTTGGGAGCAGCCCTCTACCTCGACCAGGGTGTCAGGCAGAGACCGATATGCATACATTGGCCTAGAGCATGCTATCGAAAAACATTTGTGTATGTCTCTACTGGTATGGGTCCGCGTTGGTTTCAGCGTTCGGCATGAAGGTCCATGCCTCTTGAACACCAACGGACTGGCCCCACTCGTGCACTATCGTCTGTCTGCCTTTCCCCTACCATCAGGTACGCAGACGACAATGGTGACGCCATCGGGGGGGTGCTTGCAGGCGTTACCAACCCTCAAAGCGCTGCTATCGTCGAGTACATCGGATCCGACGGTCTGGAGGAGATGCACGTATTCATCAGTCTGGCTTGGTTTGACACAGGATCTTGGGCGTGGGGACACTTCATTTCCGAGTGGGGTACCAGGGGCATTTTCCAGGCAAGATGTATGACTTGCGACAACTACTACCAAGAACAGCGCATTGGCACACGAGTGTTGGCATTGGCATTGACTACCAAGCGACTCGTGGGGTTACCACTTTTTCTACAACGTCCGAACTGTAGTGCCTGCGACGGAATACATGTAGCTCGTGGCCTCTGGTTGCCGAACGACAACCTACACAACTTGAGTGTGCAGCTTCCACCTCAACGCTGTTCGTTCGCACACGGGCGGCGCTTGAGCTTACTCCAAACCACGTATCTGCTGGCATGTTTTCCCTCTTTCAGGGAGAGCGTCGCTTCTACCTCGGAGGTGTCGTGGACGATCTGTTCCTCTCAACAGGTGGGTGTGGTCCGGCGGCCCCAAGCAGACAAATATACAACCTGAATTTCTTCCTGTTTATATATGTGTTTTTAATCCGAGGACGAATGTAACCATGACGCGGCCAACAACGTCAGACTTGGGGGATGTCGGCGATCTGGCAATCGCTTTTTTCCGCCAGGGGGCACGAGTCGTCGACAACGGTGGTAGAGACTAGACACCACGTCGATCTAGAGTAAGATCGGCATAACACATACCCTTGAAAAAGCGCCTGAACAAAATTTCTCAAGCTCTTTCTTCCGTGAAGCTGACATTGGAACACTTGCTTCATGTGTCGATTTCTTGCCGGGAGACACTAACGTGAACCTCGTGAACTAGAGGTTCGTCGGTACGGAGGCGGGGCTACCTGTAGATAGCCACTGGGGCGCAGGTGTACCCTTTGAGTATTTCGCTCAAGGAAGACATCTGCCACAAACAATATCACACCGCCGTCTGTTGACGTGTCACGCCTCCAGGCGTCTGGATTTATGACCCTCCGTCATTCTTCGGCCCGGAGGTAAGACTATTGTATTGTACTTCGATGTCGTCGATGCGTGCAGCATTTTTTTTTTGCTCTTGGCCCTTGGGGATGCAGAGATGGAAGGGTCGCCGGCGCCCTACAAGCGCTATGAACACGAGAGGCAAAGAAGTACGCATGACCGTCGGGGTGAAGGAAGCATTTTCCTACATTTTTCATTGTTGGAGACCTGTTAAAATATTAATGCATCTGTTCCCCTCCTTTGGCAGCAACGCAGCCTGCCAAAAGGAATACTCCGGGTCCTGTTGCACGTCTGGAGTTGAGTGCTGACTTCCGCCTACCTGCTGGCTCCTGATTCTCGTGTCTTCGCGTATGTATTCGGCTTGGTGGTGGCGCTTTTCTCAACGCCGCGCAGGAGAGGCTTTCGGGAGCCGACCTCCAAAAGTTCCAGAACTCGGAAGCGGCATTCAACGCCGAGTACGGGGCGTCGGTCAAGACAGAGTACGCCTTCAACGGCCTCGGTGTCCTCGACAAGGTGACAACAATAGCAACAAGAAAAGCGCTGGCGGTTGATATGACTGCCGCACGTTTCAACTGTGTCGTGTGTGCGGTTGGTTGTGCAAGCGCTAGGTAAGATGCACGCGACCTACACAAACACGAGGTGGTGAGAATAAGGAACATTGTCTAGAGGTGGCGTAGCACATTGCGGTGATTACGAGACTCTTGACAGCTGGATAGGTAAATTACTTCAAGTGTTGAGAGGTTTCGTCCTCTTGAGCTTGATGTTCTGTCGCGATACTGCACAGGTGGGATCAACGCGGAGAAGCTGGGTAGGTGCTGCCGCTGACATGGGCCTACTCCCCAAGGGTGACCCGCCGAATCCGAGCACAGGTGCGTTCCCTTGCATCAGCAACCAACCAACCGATCTCGATCCCGTGCACCCCGCCAGCAAGAGTCAACTCTCATGGATTACTAAATCATGATGTAACGTGCCGTGATTCTCAACTGCCCCTTTAACATCCACGCCTTTAAACGTCCCTCAGGTATCCCCCAAATCAGCGATCCCAACTGGCTGAGCATCCAGTTCAACCCGGCCGCTGGAGAGCAGGGGATGCAAGACGACTACGACGCCGGTCTGTTCGCTTCGGACGATCTGCTGGCCCGCGTTCAAGCCGACCTCGATGCCTTTTTCTGGCAGAGCCACACCTTGACTCACCTGTCTCGCGACAACCTTGGCAAAAACGACTGCGACATCGAAGACGGAGGTGGGTGCGGTCTGCGGGTTGGTGGCTGGAAGAAGTAATCCTCTATCATTTCTAGTGACGTCGTCAAATCGAGATGTACGTAACTCTTGAAAGCCATTGCGTACGTACGCATGTCTGTGGGAGTAATGACTTTGAGGTCGTAGCCTTGTCGGAAGCGTCAGCAACATCTGAATTTTCGCCCACCCACGGCCGGTGACGCCTTGCTCAGGCAACGTACGCCTGGGTGTAATGTTCGGCATGTTCGACAACGACAACTACAACTGGCGCAGCATGACGAGCCCGGGCATCACGGGGCTGTTCAACCCCAACTGCCTCCAGTCCGGCGATGAGAACCTCATGAAGTGCTACCCCGGGGACAACACCTACAGCGGAGCCCCACTAACGGCCGTGTCACTTATTAACGAGAACAACCAGTTCCACTCCATCACCACCACGGTCAGCACCAATGGTGAGACCGAAAAGTCGTTGGGGCAGCTGGTGCGGTTGGCCTGTGGTCATGAAAAGGTTCTCCGGCCCCCTTAACTTGAGAAGGCGGAGGTTAATACACGGTTTTTTGGTCACGAAGATTTGGGCGTCATCGGTTTTTTGGGGATCTCAACAATGGTTTCGTGGTTTCTAGCAGAAACATGGCAAGTTCCATCTCAGTTGAATTGGACAATTGATACGGCGTGTTTGCATTTGGAACAGTTGATTTGGTGGCTTAAGGGAAGCAAGCGCCCGGGAGAACCATTTTGAAGGCAAGGATCCGAAGGGAGAGGTGAGAGTCTCTCAAACAATTCTCCGGTCGCTGTTCATGAAGTAATAGTTTCCCGCTTCAAACCCCTCCCAATGTGGTACTCACTTGATTCCACAGGTTATGCCGGGATCCAGATCGTCCCTCGCTTTGCCACGAACGTGTACTACAACTGCGTCACCGGCCGGGTACAAGTGTGCATTTGGACATGTAGCTCGGTGCTTCCGTTTTTGTTTTTCCACTCCTCGCCCGTACATACAACTTGGGACATTGCGGGAAAAGGTTGGGCGAACGGAGAGAGTAGGAGAGAGAGAGAGCGAAAGAGACAGAGAGACAGAGAGATTATGGTGCCCTTAGAAGAGAAAGGCCGTCAATAGATTAGTCAAGCCCATGGCAGGGCCTGGCTACAAAGACTGCGATGGCGTGCAACGACTGCAACACGAATGGGATGAATGACGTCTATGGTGTGACACGGAGAGAAACATTGACTCCACTTGTGTGCTTCCCCCACGACCTCCTGCTCAGTGCCTCATCGACGAGAACGAGAAGATTCGTCGCGACGTGTGCGGCTGCGCGGACCTCAACCCAATTAACCCTCAGGTATGCATGTCAAACGTGAATCCGATTCTTGGGTATTGGTGTGACGAACGGAGGAGAGATGGCGCCCTGCCTCGCATGCCCATGTTTTCCGTCCGGTCGCCCTTGTACCTTCCCTACTCTTTGCTTCGCTGTGAGGAGATAAGCGGGTGGTGTTCGGTTGACCAATACGAGACAATGTTATGCAGTACAAACATGACACTCTCTGAACATTGTTGCCGAGTATCTAACCCAAGGTATGCACCAATCCTAACCCGCCTAAACGCGTCCGGTGTGCAACGCAGGGAACCTGTTCTGCTTGCCCTTCAGGCACGCAGAGCTTCAACGATGTTGCTTCTTCCGACCCGTCGATTGGACCGCTCGAGGCTCTGTTCCAGACAGAGGAGCGAACTACCACCCGCTACATTCTCACCGGACGCAGGTGTGCGTGGTTGGTCTCGCGAGTCAAAGTTTAGGGTTGTGGTTCGTGTTGATTCGAACCTTGGACTCTTGAAACTGCACGCACAAGTTCGGGGCGGGTAGATCATATTGAGTGAAATTGAATGAGCCCTTGATGCCAAAGCGGACCACCTTCCGTTCGAAGTAAGACTCGGAGACTTGGTCTAGGGCTCTCGGTTCTTCGACGTTGTGTAATGGGCTTGCTTCTCAACGCCATCGACCTCTTCCCCCCCCCGGCCTTTGAACTTATCATGAAAGGGACAAGTACATGTTCCACCAGGCGAATGTCATCAGCACGACTTGGACAACCGACACGTCGGACCCGATGTACGTCAGCCCCAGGCCCACCAACGACCCTTCGCTGCTCGAGTATTGGTACATCCGTGTCCTTGCCGAGATGTCCAAGTACATCAACACGGGTTCCTTCCCCATCCAGGTATTCAACCCGATAGCGTCGCGGGTTCCGTGACGTCGTCTTGCGAGTCCAAACTACCTCCACGGAGCGAGAGTGCTTGTCTTCGACTTGAGTTGTGCTCTCGTGGTACGGGGATAGAAAAGCGCAATAGCATCCCCGCATACATTTGTGACGTCACGTCACTGCGTTTCGTCCCAGCTCCGCGCTAGGCGGCAGCACTCAACACAAGGCCTTCTCTCTTGTTCGGCAACACGCGCTCACCCAGTGCCGACCGTCCCTTGTCCGATCCTCTTCTTGACCTTGGTGGAGAAGACTCTCAAGTTTGACAACCTTTGCCACAACTTCTACCAGCATGAGGACCTCGACAGCTCGGGTGCTATTCTGACGGCCACCAAGGATCCCTCCGGTGCCATTACCGGCTTCTCCCTTGAGACTTCCTCCGACAACGGCGCCCCCATTCCGTTGACAGTCCCCACAGCCAGCGCGGCGGAGGTAAGCTGTCCGTTTGTTGTTCTTCGTACGAAGCCCCGGGTCTGGGAGTTCTTGATGATGCTTGGTACGCAGAAGCCACGCGATGCAGTCCCTATGCTGATGGCACATGTGTTCAAGCTACTCGTGCTTGAAGCGGTGAACGATTGGTTTCTGACAGCACCAACACCAACATCGTCTGCAGTTGACGATAACACGTATTTCTCCGGCCCCGCTTGTGGTTGGCATGACAGATCCTTGCGACGTTGGGCACCCTCTCACCTTCCAAGACCGAAAGATACGGTGCTGACACCACCTTTTCCTTCGCAGCCGGCACCCTCAACACCGGCACCCTCTCCAAGCCCAACGTCAGCGAGTGAGTCCATGTCGTGATACCTACATAGTCACCGTACCGGACAGACCTTTCCATAAGGTTTCGAAGAGATATGTCATTTGTTTGTCCCATTTTACGTTCCCCCGTTACGCGTGACCGTTGCGAGTCGAACGCTTCCACTGCCTTCCGTTCTGTCAGCATGTCAACGTCAGCGTGGTGTGCATGGAGTCGACACTTGCATGATCGTGTGTAATTGAACTCACTCCTCTTCTTGTTTCTTCGGACGGAATATCCGAGGTGGCGTACAGCCGTGGTCTACGGGAACCCGTCCAGTATCCATCGCCATCGTCACTGACCTCCCGACGTACCGACTCCTTGCAATCGCCCTGCGACCGCTATGTTGGTTCTGTGGTCCACCCCTTGTCCTTATCCTTGCCCTTGTCCTTAGGCTCGCCCCCATCCCTCAGGCAACCCTCACTCCTGCCGAACAGGAAATCGTTGAGGACGCGGCGGAGGCAAAACTTGAGGCAGAGGTCTCATCTATCGTCGATGTTGCGGTAAGGTGTCACGCTTTGCCCGTGTCGCTGTTGTGAGAGCCACATCATCTGTTGGTGTTGCGGAGGTGTTTTGCTCGAATCGTACCGATGCTGTAGAGCTGCGCTCATTTGCAGCGAAGTCAAGGTTTCACGCCACTACCGCAAATTCCATGGGCCTCTGCCGTAGTTTTCCCATTTGGCGTCAACCTTTACCTAGCGAGAGACGAATCCCACGGTCCAGTGGTGGACAACACCGCGCAAGGATTTTGGATGAAACACTCACTCTTGAACCTTAACCCTTAGTCCAGCTCTCGGGCATGTTCCCGAGAGAACCAAATGCGGGACAAGGGGGACCCTGCAGGAGAAACAAAAAAAGACTGGTTGCCCTGAAGAGTGTTCTCTCGCGACGAAAGGTGGACAGAATAAACGGCGTAGTCGAAGGGTACAGTTTGGCCATGGCCCGTTTCTCTCTCCAACTCCAGCAACGGCATTGTTCCATGCACCAATCCCATAGTCGAATCGTCGGCAGCCCTTAGATTTCAACGAGAAGATGCACTGTGTGTCTGGTTCCTAGTGCTGGCAGGCACGCTCGTGCAATCCTCGACATCTAACAACATAGTATAATCGTCCTGTTTTCAATGTCGTGTGCGATTTCTTGACGTTCATCGATATCAGGAGGACGCCAGGATGGACATTGAGGAGGAGGCCGGCAACCAAGGCTTCGTTGTTGAGGACTTGGCTGGTGAAATCCTCGTTGATCCCGTGGAATCGATGGCCACGACTCCCTAGAAGCTCGTATCTGTGTGGAAGCAATGTGTGGTTTGTGCTGTAGTCTAAGGTACGATTTGTCAAACTGTTGATGTTGTATTGTTCTTTCAGCGAAAATGGATATAGATTCCGCCATGTACGTGTGTGGTCTACCCGATGGCATTTGTGGTTGAAGAAGCGGCTCTGGGCAGTCGGGAAATGGTAGGGTATCCCTCGATGGCGGAGAAGTGCAAGCTGGCCGTAATCGCCATTCGAGTGCAATGGTCGAACGGCCATGGTTACACCTACATTGGCCTAGAAAGGGTCAAGCCACTTCTGTTGCAACATTCTTCATCCTGAATTTCAGGGCCACCGTCACGGGGTCTACATGTCTGCCGCGTGTTCCCGCTTCGACCTCGTTTCGGGGCGATTGATCGTGGAACGCTTCTTCACCAATTTATGATCCGTGTAGCAGCGACCCTGGCAGAGTACTATTATGTACCAGATGTTTGTGTGGTGTGTCATGCTGTTGTCGAGGCAGATAGGAGTTGGCTGGTCATATGGTCGTTGATTCCGCCGTCAAACCTACTCCCGCAACTCCCTGGAATCTCTGTGTAGAAGCAGTGCGCCATGTTCCCTTGGCGTTTCACGAGAAGGGCACGCTCTCTTTCTAAGTAGCTTTCTATTAACGAGGGCGAAGTGTCTGCCATGTAATTTATTGATATTATTACTCTAGATCTTTGACGCTGCGTACTCGATGAAAAGAGCGGCTCTTGTGTTCGGAGTGAAAGGGAGAAGGAGTGTCTCTTTCGCAGGGAAAGTGCCCGCTGGCCACAATCGTTAGGCGAGCGCAGTGGCCAAACTGATACTGCTTACTTCCTTGACGAGGAAAGGATCGGGCCACTTCGTGCTATCAGTACTCGTCACGCTGCACTGTTAAGGCACCTTTACGGCGTCCAGATTCCTACCCCTGCAGCACGCTGTAGATTCCCGATTTTCTGGGCATGATTGATAACGTAGCGCTTTTGCACGCGTTACTTGGGGCTCCACTTCAAGCATTGGCCATCTGCCATATTTTTTTTTGTGTTTGGTGTACGATATTGAGGGACAAAAAGTGTACCTGATACGGCCCGTTTTCGACAACAACAGTGTCATGCCTGTCATGATGAATGTTTGACTTCCGGTCGTAGATCAAGACCTGGATGGAGTTGGCTTTGTGCCAAATCCTGTTGCGGGCGTTCGAATCGGTGCAGTGTCACTTAGTGGCCATGAGATCCATGGCCTCCAGTTCTGCGTGGGCGGTAAAAAAGAACGGTAATGCTATTATTTCGACGCCGGCGCTGTCAACGTTTTCTTCGACACCGCTCGAAGGCTTCGAAAACCACTTCTTAACTGTGTACTCACGTGTCTCAGCTATCACGCACGCAAGTCCTCGTTGGCCTCAACTGAATGGTGGTTGCCGAGATATGCCACAAAACGATGTCAAGGCAACACCTCGGCGGTAGTGTGGTATAGTCTACGCGCTTAACGACGAAACCGCTCGAAAATCTTCGCAAACACCTTGTTTGGGTGCGGCAGCTCGTCAGAGGCCGAAAGAGAAAGAAGGTTGACTCAAGACCTTGTTGCTTAGAGAGTAAGAGACATGCGGTAGGCCACACAATCGCCATGCAGCATGTCCGTCAATACATTCCATCCGCGTACCCCCCGGAGGCCCCGTAGACAGTATACTCTGCCGAGCACCCCAAACAGCCCCCCTGCTCGGTACGTGATACTATCTACGAAATCCCCGACACGACTATCATTGCCAGACAAAACGGCAGACAGAAAAACCAAAACCCCTGTGCTAACAATAAATCATCCACCATTCCAATCCAAACGACTCTGCCAATAGAGCATGTCCCACGAAATCGCCGGATCTTCCAACAGAACACGTCCTGCAAATGCGAAGGTGTACCGATTCAGGTAAGAGTCAATTGACGGATACCCTGCGAATCGGGTCCTCCTGAACACTCTCCACCCACGGAATTAAGCCTCAACTGGGAACCTCTTGTGGCCAGGATGGGTAATTCGATGGAAGTCACGAGGTTCTATGTAGGATCGACTCCAAGAGGTGTTCTCAGGACTGACACACATTGTGTCCATGGGAAAATATCCAACCAAGTAGGAGAAAAAGTGTGCACCCAAGGAGATTCGAATCAGTATCCAGCTGACGCCATAATATGCGAAGGTGTACCGATTCAGGTAAAAGTCAATCGACGTATACCCTGCGAATCGGGTCCTCCTTAACACAAAGCTTTCAAACCTTTTTGATGTCAAATTTCTACCCCTAAAAGGTCTGTCAAGAAAAACAAATCACCCTCTCGAGAAAAGTGCTCTACCCAATTCTCAAGCAGTCAAAACACGAACAATCACCCTTGGAAAAATACCCAGCAAAAAGATCAACATTACATCAGAATCACGTCAGAACGGGGAGGACGGGTAACTCCGGGAAAACGTGTCTTGCGTCCTGACTACTCAGAACAAATTCATTCCTCAGATAAAAATTCACGTTTCAACTCAATGGCTAGTTCAAATTTCAAGAACATGCCAAACCCTCTCTTCGACATCCAATACCTTGACAAAGAAACCACTCCACCAGCCCCGGGGGCCCCTGCTGTAACATCCATTCCATCCTCAACATGAAGTCAAAATCAGATCAATCAATCAATCAATCCAACAGCCCCCCTGCTGCATCATTCATCCCGAAAAAATCAAAACCAAGACAAACCACCTGCGACTAGGATCATGGAACAATACTTCCCCCCCCATGACTCTCACGCAGAACTATCCCATCCATCGCGAAAGCAGAAATCAACATCGAGCAGCAGATCAAAGGCCAGTACCAGGTCACAAATAAAACACATGATGCAAGAAAGGCCCCATCGCTGAAATAGTGCAACACAAAGAACAAAATCAACGAATGAATATTCATCACGAAGTCACAATGCGCGCAAAAAGTCATCTCCTTGGGGAGCGGTTTGGTCAAGAAATCCGCGCGTTGCAGGTCCGACCGTACGTGGACTACCTACCTTGAACTCCCCCCGTGCTACACGCTCACGGATGAAATGGTGGCGGATGTCGATGTGCTTCGAGTTGGGAGTAGTAGCCGGGTTACTTGCCAAGTGAATAGCGCCTACTACGTTGTCCTCCCACACCGAACAACATATTCGCCTGATTGAGAGCGAAGTATCTGATTGAGAGCGAGAGCCAAAAAATTGAAATTTCGGGTCCAGACGCCTCTTGCCATTTCTTGGCAAGTAGGGGACGGGCTATTCCAAGAAGCGGTGCAAATTGAAGGTCTCATCAGCAGCTTCGCGAGCATATGCGTGTCATCGTCATCGGATGCTGCAGCGAGGAGCTAGACAAGTTGCTAGATTTGCCCAGATTGGCTATTTCTGCTCAAACTGTTTCAGGGCGGTATCGCGTCGGGCGGTGGGCTCTGCTGTAGCTTCTGCTCCCCGCTGTAGCTCCACAACGAGAGACTCCCACAGGATGACCAGGGTAGCGGCTTGAAGCTACGGGCTAGCCCTTCAATTCAAGCTACACAGCAAGCTCCACCTCTCAGTGGTAGTCCGGCTACAGCGTATCGCGCAATCTCGCTCTCAATCAGATGCTACGCTCTCAATCAGGCGAATATGTTGTTACCGGCGTGCACCCCACATCACGGCCCGGAAAGATAAATTTCGAAATACTTGTGGAGTCAAATCAGAGAGCACCACGGGGAAGTCGGCGGATGCAGGCCGGTAAGCCGGCACAAAAGCAGTAGGAGCAGTAGTAGTAGAAGCGGAGAGCATGCTGTCACCTCGAGCCCCACTAAACAGGGGTTGCAGCTCAGGCCGCTGCCGCCACAACGTATCCGCCACAGAAAGAACTTCATGCACTCCCGAAGCAGACAAAATGGCTCGTGATGGGCATTTCATGTAAGAAAAATCGGGAGAATCACCGCGGCGCCCTCCTATGCGCGTATCACTAGCAAGGTTCCAGTCTCGTGAGCGACGAGCAAAAGAATAATGAGCCGGCATCCCGCAGGTAATCGCCAATAAGGGCGAAGTCTAAATTCTCGTGGGTGGTGAGACCTGACAACAAGCAACGTGGTGGTCGTGAGCAAAGCGTGCCTCGGCGCACGAAAAGGGAAGAATCGCGTCCAATTCTCTCTTACCGTGCCTGCCAGATTGACGCCAAGTTTAAAGGAATGCCCGCCCGACGGTGGCTTGCCTCCTAGATGTAGTAGATGTAGATTCTGCCGTAGACACTCTTGTCCACGAGCACGTTGAGATGGGAAGGTTGCTTGTTATTGCAGAAGCGGGTCTGCTACAGGTCTGAGGTGAGGCGGATTGCCCTCAACCTGGGGGCACGCAGATATCTAAGTCCCGATGGGGTACGTCCTAAGTGGGTATACCTCCTGACGTCCCCCATCATAATCTAGACCGACTGTGTACCCTATCTGTGCAATACAGCAACACTCCTCAACATCCATGTGACATATATATTTGCACAAACGGTGTGCTATCTCGAGACACCGACCACGGATTGCAAAGGTAGCGGTTGCGACAGTTCGGGCAAAATGTTACTTGTTGTTGTGCGCAAGTTTTAGTTTGCAATTTGGTGCCGAGATGGTGAAATGGGCTCGAGTCTGCTGGGTATTTAGGGCGCGCAGACAGACAGACAGACAGACAGACAGACAGACAGACAGCCGTCGCGTAATTTTCACGCCCCTGTGCATGAAAATTATTCTTTTTCTCGTGCGCACATACTCCACACACGATCTTTCTTTCTAAATTTAAAACAGCTTTATTTTTGCAAAACAAAAAGCGTACCTCTAAACGGGCCACACTTTTCGCAAAACAAGAACTATTATTATTATTAGCGCAATCCGTGGCACTGCGTTACCACTATCATTGTTCACAATACCTGCGTAACAATCTGCGAGACAACCACGAAAATCTTGACGAAGGCCATCGGAAGGGCTTCCACGAACCGATGACGCATGATCGCCACGGTTTCACGGATTTTCCCGCTGCGCTCGCCGTAATGACTGACTCCAGTAAGATCCCAAACCAACATTCCGCCGATCACCAGAACCAGCAATGAATGGCCCTCCCTACCACCCACCATGCCACTGCGTGTCTCCCTTCTCTCTCGTGCAGCGGGAGCAGTTATATGTTGAGCCATGAGCATAGCCCTCGCTGCATGTTGCACAGTCTGAAAGACAACAACGAAAGAAAGCAATACGCACGACAGACCCGGCAGTTTTCACTGAGCACCTGCGCCTACCTACCACTTGTAGGGGTAACGACACGATACGCGTTCAGTCACTTATGCATTTGCGCATCGTGACCAGCTAAGACCGATCAACATTCCAGACGCCACGTAGAATGCTGCCTGCATCTAGAAAAGCATTGTTGGACACCACCAGGTGTACTGAGCGCATCACAAGAATCGACTGTTGTTCCCATTTCGGCATGTGGAGAAAATGCGGGTATCGATCCTAAGACAAGAAAAAGCAGTGCGTGGTAGACTACAGCTTTCCTGCCTGAGTATACAGCAGTACCCCACGCCACGGAGTCGAGGAGGAAGAGGCAGTGAGAGATACGTGGACAGGGCGGAGTCGTGTGGTTGTGTCGATAGTTCATTGGTCCCACGAAGAGCTCGGAAGGCTTTGGCAAGTGTTGAACCACGACCAGCGCTGCCGGGCGTCAACAGGGTCACAGAGTGCAAGCCACATTTCACGACACATGGTTAGGAAAAACATGAGACCAACACAAAGCAAAACACCGTGTCCAAAACGGACTGCGCTTGCCCATTCACCTCCGCGGTCATGTCGTCAGAAGAAGCCCCCAGGGCGAAAATGC